CCTTGCTCTCCGTGGTACTATTGTATTGATCAGTAAAGTATCCCCGAAAGCTCTTCAGTCCCTACCACATGATCTGGTCCCGAAATTCGAGACATTTCATCCTGGTAGTTACAGTAAAATATCGACCTCTAAACTTCTGCTAAGGGTTGCCTTTGATAACCAAATCAAACGCCATTATTCTGGATTTCGCCATTTGATCAAAGCATGAGCGTAACAAGCGAACCTCCATTCCTCGGTATCCAATCAGTTGACGCCGACGCGTCCTTTGAGACACATGAGCCGGCAAAAAGTGTCATTACTGGTCCGGCCCCTGACCGTAGAACCTCTTCCAGAAGAAAGAAATTAACTGAAAAGGGAAAGAAATTCCAGCTAGAGTTGTTAGTGAACAAAAGGAACTCCGTTTATTCGAAGCTCAAAGAACAGATTGTTAAAATAAATAACATGCGTTCATCACCGGAAGTAGACAAAGAAGCTTTGGAAACCACTCGTGATTATTTAGACGATCTCAAAGATAAATTCCATGACGCACACTTAGAACACGACGAATTGTTAGAAACGGATGAGGAAAAAGAAGCTTCCTATCACTGGTTTGATTTACAAGACCGAGAATACACGGAATGCAGGATCAGACTCTGTGAGCGTATTCAAGCTATCGAGAGAGAATTGTACAAATCACAATCGGATATATATAGTTTCAGATCAAGCGTCAAATCGGCTAAATCAAAGGCATCCAAAGCCAGCTCTTCCTCTAAATCCTCTAAATCTAGTCTATCTAAGGCACTTGTAAACGCATCCRCGAAGGCGGCGAAATTGCAGGTTGAAATGGAGTTTCTAGAGCAGGAAAGAGAATTAAGACGGCTGGAAATAGAGAAAGCAATTGCCATAGCAACCGCAGAGGAGAAAGCAATAAAGAGGATTATAGAAGAAGAAAATAAGTCATCCTTCAAAGACGAGGTTATAAGTGTCAAAGATAAAACAGTCTTAGATGAAAACGACCATAAGTCCGAGAAACGCTTTCCRGTTAAGGTCAAGATTGAAAAGAGTTCTTCCCTTAATGGTTATGCGCCGTTCAAAGTACCAAAACCTACCGAATCCTCTCAGTCAATGAGTCATGATCTAATTTCTGCCCTGCGAGAAATAGTTCAATTACAAGCTAAACAAACAGAACTAAGTTCCTTGATTGTTAACCAGCAGAGGATAAATCATTTAACGGTCAAAGAACCACCCATCTTCTCCGGTGATGCTTTTGAATACCCTGCCTTCGTGACCGCCTTTGACTCTATCATCGCTGCCAACGTGCCTTCTGACAGAGATCGCCTATATTTCCTCGAAAAGTACACTCGTGGTAGAGCAAACGATGTTGTGAGAGGTTTTCTAGCCATGCCTTCTGACAGCGCATATACAGAAGCCCGCAAGATACTAAATCATCGCTTTGGAAACCCAGTCTATGTAGCAGAAGCATACAAATCCACTCTCCGTGACTGGCCGCAGATAGAAGACGGAAACAGCAGTAAACTACAAGAGTTTTCAGACTTCCTTGTTCGATGTGAAGACGCAATGAAATGCATGCCAAGTTCCGCCGATATAGACAACACACAAATGCTTCTTCATGTTTGCGCCAAACTGCCGTCCTATGCTGGTGTGAAATGGTGCCGTCACGCGCATGAGCTTCAAGCAAGAATGAAAACAACGGTGAAATTTAACGACCTTGTCAAGTTCGTGAGAGAGGAGGCCGAGTTAGCAAACGATCCTGTTTTCTCCCCTGATGCGCTCAAAAGAGAGAAGAAGAAAGCCGCAACCAGTGCCAGGGTAAGGATGAGCAAACCTGGAAGTACAAACTTTAAGCCCAAGGCAAGCCAATCACTCGTCACTTCAACAACCCTCGGCAATAGTACAACCAATCCTTCTCATCAGCGCACCAATATCTCGTCCTGTTCTTTGTGCAGTGGTCACCATGCTCTCTCAAAGTGCAGTAAGTTCTTGAATCACTCAGCAGAGGAGCGCAGCAAGATTATTCGCAATAAGAGACTCTGTTTTAGATGCTTTAGAGACGGACACATATCGGCGCGGTGTCCCTCGAAATCAAGCTGTGAAGAATGCGGCAAACGGCATAATACGCTGTTACACGGGGTAAAGCCAAGGCCCAAGCCAAACCACCAACAGTCTACTCAGTCCAATACAGAGTCACCACCATCCACAGTAGAAAAGAACCTGAATGCTGTAAACCAGCCAATGAAGACTCCAGTCATTGATTCCAACTCCCACGCCAGCAGTGCAACRCCCAACCAAGATAACGACAGCAAGATCATCACTAATTCGAAAATAGTTCCAGTGATATTGTTCCACAAAGATAATCCGGAGAAGGAAGTGAAGGTCTACGCGCTACTCGACGATGCAAGTGACACCACTTTCCTATCCGCAAAATCGCAGCAACACCTTGGCATCAAGGGTGTGGAAATGAGCTTAAACCTCCACACCATGCTTGGAAATCAGAAGATTCCTGTAGAGAGGATAGATGGCCTAGTGGTGCAACGTCTCGATAAACGGGCTGAAGTCGAACTCMCGAAGGCCTACACAAGAGATAAAATTCCATCTAGGCCAGATCAAGTCCCAAGGCCAGAAGTAGCAGCCAAGWGGCCTCATTTACAAAAAATCCAAGATAAGATACCGGAATATGAAGAGAACCTTGAAGTCGGACTTCTGATCGGCTGCAACTGTCCTAGGGCGATCAAGCCAAAGGAAGTAATACTGGGCAAGAGTGAAGAACCATACGCAATCAGGACATTGCTTGGATGGTGTATAGTTGGCCCCGTAGGCGAGTCAAAGRGAGAAGCCCTAAYAGATTCCAACAGTCATCGCATCTTGTCRCGTKAAGTGATTCCGGATACCAAAGACAGTCTTAGTTTCGTTATAACTAATCCTTCTAAAGAAGTTATGTCACCGGCTGTAATCAACCGCATGTTTGAAATGGACTTTGCTGAGTGCAACAAGTCATCACTGCGGGGTATGTCTCAAGAAGACAGGCGGTTCATAGAGATAGCTGAGAAGGGAATTCACCAGTGTGACGATGGTCACTATGAACTTCCATTGCCTTTAAAGAATTACRATGTCAAGCTCCCTAACAATAAAGCAATTGCGCTCCGTCGTCTGAATCATTTGAAAGGAAGATTCCAGTCCTCAACCAACCAGAAATACTGACAAGACTATGTGGCCTTCATGAATAAAGTCATCGAAAATGGGTATGCAGAGAAGGTACCGCAAGAACAAACCAAGCAGGAATCAAGGAGTAATGTCTGGTACATTCCTCATCATGGGGTATACCATCCAAAGAAGCCCGAAAAAATTCGGGTAGTCTTCGACTGCGCTGCTAATTACAAGAATGAGTCCCTGAACAAGCACCTGCTCCAAGGCCCGGACTTAACKAACAACCTGACAGGAGTGCTATGCAGGTTTAGACAGGAACCAATAGCCTTCACGTGCGACATAGAGGGTATGTTCCACCAGGTTCGAGTCAATGCAGAGCACAGGGATCTTTTGCGTTTTCTTTGGTGGGATGGCGGAGATATTACTAAAGAGCCTCAGGAGTAYAGAATGACCGTGCATCTGTTCGGAGCCACTTCGTCTCCAGGCTGCGCGAACTTTGCTTTGAAATCCACTGCTAACAGTTTTGAGAATGTGTTTGGTACTGCTGCTGCAAATTTTCTACGCCACGATTTTTATGTTGATGACGGCCTCAAGTCTGTTCCTTCCGTCAAAGAAGCGGTCGAGTTAGTTGACAACGTGAAGCAGATGTGTAGTCAAGGGGGATTCAGACTGCATAAATTCGTATCCAACAGCAAGGAAGTAATCAGGAGTGTTCCAGAATCAGACAGAGCTGACAGTGTCCAAAGCTTAGACCTAGATCTTGACTTTTGCCCCTAGAGCGCACGCTTGGTGTCCACTGGTGCATAGAGTCAGACTGTTTCCAGTTCAGCATCATGCTACAAGATAAGCCTTGTACAAGAAGAGGAATACTTTCTACTGTGAGCTCTATCTTTGATCCTATTGGCTTTGTCGCTCCACTCTTGTTAGACGGGAAATCGATTCTTCAAGAGTTATGTCATCTTCAGTTAGGCTGGGACGACCCGATACCGGACGATGTTAAGATGAGATGGGACAAATGGAGAGGAGAGCTAGTAAGCCTTCAACGTATCTCAATTCCAAGGTGCTACAAGCCCAAGGACTTTGGTGAAGTCGTAACCGCAGAACTTCATCATTTCTCAGACGCAAGTATCAAGGGATACGGTCAGTGCAGCTACCTGCGATTGACGGATGAGCACCAAAGAATCCATTGCTCTTTCGTTATGGGAAAATCACGAGTAGCGCCAATAAAACAAGTAACCATTCCTAGATTGGAGCTTACAGCCGCTGTGTGTTCCGTGAGAGTCAGTCAACAAATTCACCAAGAATTGGAGTACAAAATCGATCAAGAGTACTTCTGGACGGATAGTAAGGTAATACTTGGATACATCGCGAATGAAAGCAGGCGTTTCCACGTGTTTGTCGCTAATAGAGCGCAAGAAATTCAAGAAAGCACCCAAATYGAGCAATGGAGATATATCGAATCCCAAGAGAATCCTGCTGACGAAGCCTCTAGAGGAATGACCGCGCAAGACCTGTCAAACTCTAGATGGATCAARGGACCAGCATTTCTATGGAACAAACATGCTCAAAGGCTACTCAACAATCAAGACAGCTATACGCTTAGCAAAGATGATAAAGAGATAAAGAAATCCGTCGCTATGGCAACCACAGCAACGGTGAATGCAATGGCTTATCCAGGATTTGCAGAAAGGATAGAATACTTCTCGGACTGGTATCGCGCCAAGCTTTCAGTGGCATTGTGCATGCRCTACGTCAAGTGCCTGAAAGAGAGAGTCAACAAGATGAAATCTGAAAGAACTGCAGAAGATCTAAGAATAAGCGACCTCGAAGTAGCAGAACAGGTCATTATTCRTGAAGTTCAGAAGAAAGCATTCAAAGAAGAGCTAAGCACACTAGAGAAGGCCAATCGTCAAGACAGCAGCATCAGTCAAGGACTTGTCGCTACAAAGGAGCATAGTTCACTGTATAAGCTCGACCCATTTGTAGATGAAACCGGCATCCTGCGGGTTGGCGGACGCCTCAGACATGCTGACCTCCCAGACAAGATCAAGTTTCCAGTTATTTTACCACGTAAAAGTCATGTTACAGCGCTACTTATCAAGCATTTTCATGAACGTACAAGTCATCAAGGAAAGGGAATGACCCTCAATGAAATACGTTCAAATGGATTCTGGGTAATAGGTGGATCCTCAGCGGTCGGTAATGCAATCTTGTCCTGCGTTAAGTGTCGGAAAATGCGCGGAACTGTACAAGAACAAAGAATGTCAGATTTACCCAAGGATCGCGTGGAAAGTGCTCCCCCATTCACYTACTGTGCTGTAGACTACTTTGGCCCCTTTATGATTAAGGAAAGACGCAAAGAACTGAAGCGCTACGGAGTGCTTTTCACATGTATGGCTTCGAGAGCCATACACTTGGAGACAGCAAATTCCTTAGAAACGGATTCTTTCATCAACGCTCTGAGGCGGTTCATCAGTCGGCGAGGACCATTACGGCAGCTTAGAAGTGATCAAGGAACGAACTTTGTGGGTGCTCGCAGAGAACTGTTGGAAGCCCTAGAAGAGATGGACCATAAGAAAATAAAAGCAGAGCTACAGAAGAATCAATGCGATTGGTTCTCCTTCAAAATGAATGTACCAGCTGCGAGCCACATGGGAGGAGTGTGGGAGCGCCAAATACGATCTGTGCGCAGTGCACTCTCTTCCCTGTTGCAGAACAGTGGCACTCAACTGGACGACGAATCTCTTCGAACGCTGATGTGCGAAGCTGAAGCAATCGTCAACAGCCGCCCCCTCACGGTCAA